GGAACAGGAACTTTCCAAAGCTAAAGAATCTGTAAGTAATTAATGATTTTCTGATGACTCCAAGTTTATTTAATAATATATATATCTAATAATAGATTGGCGCTGACACATATGTTAGTGTTTGGCCGAGCTTCTCCTCCGACTTTTGGTGTGCGCCTTGATGTTGTCACACAAAGCGGAGGAACCTACAGTTTTACGCCGACTATGAACGGCGATTGTATTTTTATGAGAAGCTGTTTTTCATGGCGGAAAAACACTCGGAGGTTTGCCATTGCCTACCGAGGGACGACCGCTGTTAAGAAAAAACCTTTTTCTATATTTTTTTGCGATGTTGCTTTGACCAGGGTTTGAATCCAGGTGCTGCGGAGTGGAAGCGCGCATTGCTTACCAATATCACCACAGCGGCCGACAAGTTTATTTAAAGACCCATAAAACCTCCTTTTTGTACGCATCTATATAGGACTAGCAGCATTACCAACAGAAAGCAAGCGAGTAGCTTATGACCATGTTCCGTTGCTAATCCGTCACTAATGGCCAAAGCAGAGATCTCAATACAAATAAGCCTTCATACGAAGTAAGTTTTTGACGTGATACGTCCGAAAGTAATAAAAGTATCAATACTAAATTTTTCTGAGGGTAGAATTTAAATGAATTCACCGAAGAACAGTTTTCTACACCACGCTGTGGAAAATTTACTTCCGAAGGGTCGTTTGAAGTTCGACACTAGATATCTACATTCTTCCACCGGTTATATGGCTCACCAAAAACCGACTACTACTCGCCAATCTTAAGTAACATTGCACACCAAAGCGAAGGTTAGATATTACACAGGTTTAACTTATCTCCGCCGAATATTATCGGCACAAGTATCTTGAAAACGTTATGAGTTACAGAGAGACAGCCGTTACAGCTCTAAGGTAAGTACCCTCAGTGCTCATGGGTAATTAGTTTTAGCTGTTGCTGCCTTTTAGACTGTCGACTACCAGACAGACGGCCAGCCAATCACTCGGTAATAAGCGCACGCGCTTTTCTTCTTCCTCCCTCCTCTGCAGCCATGCTTTGTCAATTTTTATTGCTAAGCCAATTAAGCGGAATATTTTCTCAATTTCATGTTTCAATTTTTGGCCGCCGTTGCATAACATGCCACAAATTGCGTGCGTGCTCTTTGCCACTACATTTGCGGGGCAGCAGCAAGCGCATCATCATCATCATCATTTCATGCGGCCGCAATAAGAGCAGCGGCTATGTACAGTGGCAGTGGCAGCCTCACTGCATGCAATTATCATAATTTGTTTGACACGTGACAATAAAGGTGGAGGAGGAGGAGGAGCAGGAGAAACAGGATGAGTTAGGTTAGAATTAGTCAGGAAAAGGTTATGAAGTGGATATGGAGAAAACCAAATGGGCGTGTGGGTGCGACAAATTGTAACAAGCGAAGTAGGATTTTCGGTGTAACGGTATCATTTTACAATTTTTTTTTTTTGTCTTTGAGTGTGCATAGAAAATTGAGGGTTTTGCGGATAATGTAGAACACTTGCGCGGTAGATAGGATGCAGTTGCGAGTTGTAAAAGCAAGAAAAAAATAAGTAAAAATATAGAATATACTCGCAGTAATGTGCATGCAGAGATATTAGAATGCCTCGGAAAAAATGAAAAAAATATTTGCCGTTCCAGCCTAATAGGTTGATATGCATTTTTTCTAACTATCAACAAACTATTTCAACTCAACTTAGCGTCATTTCGTGGATTAAATTGTTTTTTTTTTTTCTTTACAGTGAATCTTAAACACCTATATAACCGAAAAATTTAAAATTCGAGAGGTCTGCATCAAAGTATTTATAAGCAATGCCGATATATTCGATTTTCAATTCAATTTTTAATTTTTAACCATCAATGGAATTAAATTTTTTTTAGGACATTCTATTATAGCTTGAATAGTCCTGTTGATTTATACGTTTTTCAAAAATTTTAGCAAAATTATGTATCAGAAAAAATATTTAAAAATTTCGTATAAAAAATAAAAGTAAAAAAAAATTTTATGTACATTTTTTTTTTTTTAGAAAATTAGCGCTTTCATGCAGCAATACTTCATTTTATATATTGTTATAAAGATTTATAGGGGATGAAGGGTTAATTTCTAATAAGAGGAAAAATAAATAATAGTCGTCTTCAAATTTCCATGATAGCAGCTTTGAAACTTTAGAGATCTGCATCATAAATTTTTAAAATGGTGGTAATAGTTACAAATCAATCAAAGTAGTTTTCGACACTCTTGAATGGCTCAGTTATATTTTCAACGATTTATATTTCTTTCAAATACGCCAAAAATTTCGTTGTAAGAAAATATAGGAAAATTTTTAAGGTGTAATAGGGTTAATATTTCCAGGTAATAGTAAATTAAAATAGTAGCAGGAATGGAAAATTGGTTCGCAAAAAATTACTTTATAAAAAATTTCTATGGTAGGAACATTAAAACTTTAGAGGTCTTCCTCATAAGTTCTAAAGATGGAGGAAATAGATTGAAATCAACGAAATTTTCCATAAATTGTTAATTTTTTTTTTTCATAAAAACTGAAATAGCTATGTTAATATCTATATTTCTTAAAAAAAAAATTATTCTTCCATTTAACAAAATTTCGTTATGGAAAGTTTGAAAATCATGGTGCGTGAATGGGTTAATTTTTCAAAAGAGAAATTAGTCAAAATGCAACGGTTTATACCAGGAAACTCGGTTTCTAAATAGTTAATTTATGCAAAATTTTGATTTAAAAATTCACTCAACAAATTTTTTCACTGTGTGCATGGGTTTATTTCTAATGAAAGTATCAATCAGTTGAAATAGTCGCGCGTATCATGGAAATTAGAATCGCTTTTAAAATGGTTATAACGGGTGATTTTTTTGAGGTTAGGATTTTCATGCATTAGTATTTGACAGATCACGTGGGATTTCAGACATGGTGTCAAAGAGAAAGATGCTCAGTATGCTTTGANATGGCCATTTTGAGGGAAAACTTCGGAGAACAATTCATCTCAAGAAATGGACCGGTAAGTTGGCCACCAAGATCATGCGATTTGACGCCTTTAGACTATTTTTTGTGGGGCTACGTCAAGTCTAAAGTCTACAGAAATAAGCCAGCAACTATTCCAGCTTTGGAAGACAACATTTCCGAAGAAATTCGGGCTATTCCGGCCGAAATGCTCGAAAAAGTTGCCCAAAATTGGACTTTCCGAATGGACCACCTAAGACGCAGCCGCGGTCAACATTTAAATGAAATTATCTTCAAAAAGTAAATGTCATGGACCAATCTAACGTTTCAAATAAAGAACCGATGAGATTTTGCAAATTTTATGCGTTTTTTTAAAAAAAAAAGTTATCAAGCTCTTAAAAAATCACCCGTTATTAGGAAAACTCAAAAAAAAAATTAACATTTGGAGCCGAAAAAAAATTTGCTATTAAAATTGTTGAGAACTTTTTACGGTGTGCATGGGTTAATTTCTTAGAAAAAGCAGTGAAAGAATATATAAAATTAATAGCCGTGCATGCTATGAAAAGGAAAATAGCTTTCCAAATGGTTACGTTCGTCAAGTTTTAGAAGTTTAACCTTTGCGTACCGAAAAATTTTGTTATGATTTATTTTTGATAAGTTTTTAGGGCGTTTGGGCTTTAATTTATAAAAACAAAAATAAATAAGAAACAAGTTATTACAAAATTTATGCATAGCTTGGAATAAAAATCGGTTCTAGGAACTTAAATTGAAAATGCCGAAAGACTTTTTTATTTTTTAAAGACGTTCGTTGCAGATACCTTAAATTTACATCTTTATCTTATGCTATTTGCTGGGGTAACAAATTCTTCCAGCTTGTAAAGTTTTTTTATGAAAAAATTATGTTTAGAGGCCTGACTGACTAATGGCCGGGAATTGGGCCTAAATATTTTCTTGATAGTGATAATAAAGTAAGGTAAAATTTGAAATTCGGCTGCAGAAAAAGAGTATTTTCTTTTTAAGAAGCACGAGGCAATCTAATGCCTATACATATGTACTGCAGCTGGCTGCGTTAAAAATGCATGCTAAAATATGATTTTGAAATATTTTTTAAAGGTTGTGCGTGCTATGTGGCTGTAAGGAAGTTCTCATAAATGCCAATGTGCATTCAATTGCAAATATATGTACATATGACCACCTTATGCCACTACTTGCTCATTGCCATACAAGGAAGAAGCAGTAAGGGAAGAAAAATAAGTCCTTGCGCCAAAATATGAGCCGATCTCGTTATGCGCTGCACTCGATAAGAATAATGTCAATAAATCAATGATATGCACTTTTGACAGCAGCCACAAAAGGAGTGTCGCACAAGCACACAAGTCGAAGGAAGCACTTATGAAGGACGTACAATATACATATTTATGGGCGCTGACTATGCTTGCTGTGGCGATAGAAGCAAGAGGCAGCTTTCGCAAGGACCTACGCCTATCCCAAGTGCTACAAACACACACAGCAAGCTCCGCTGCAAGCTGCCGCTGCCACAGTTGCACACATAAACACAGACATTATAAAGCATCCTTCAGCTTCAATGAAATGATGAAAAGCAGCTTAAAAGCAATACATACATACATACATATTTTTGTAAAGATATTGCGGCATCAGCCGCTTGCCACAACTCCGGGCGCACGGACTTGACTGGAAGCCATCGTGGCATATGGCAAGCAAGCTCAATTGCTGTAAGCGCTTATTTTTCTTAAGTACATACGAGTACTATTATTGTTGCTCATATTTGTTGTTTTCATTGGCGTTGTTGTTGTCTTTTCGCATTGCGCGTATGCAAATTGGTTGCGGCATTGTCACGAAATTACAATAACAATAAGAAAGCTTATAGTAGCACCAGCAGCAACATCAATAATGTCAACACAATAATGTCCTCGCTGTTAATCTTTTTGTTGTTGTTATTGCTGCTGTTTTTGTTGCGGTGTAATAAATATGTTTTATATTTTTGCTACTTACCGATCAATAATGACAGGATCTGATGGTGTCTCATTGCGGTTGCCGCAACTTTTTTTATCACAACAGCGACTGTAAAGGGGGAAAGAGAGAGAGAAAGAGAGAAGTGGTAAATCATGAGTGAGAGATGGTGATATGTATGAAAAAATTTGTGCTTATGTACAATATTTGCAAATATTGAAAATATTGCAGCTACGATATGATGAAAATGAAATGTCGACACTTGTTAAAATTAATTTTTGGAGGCAAAAAAATCGCTTAATTTAATGAGTTGGATGTCTACTTAAATACATATGTATGTATGTATATATGTGTGTACGAATGCAAGTATGTACGTAAGTATGCATTTAATATTTTTTATCTGTAAAAGCATCAGTGATGACGTTTTAATTTAAATTCTAAATAAATTTTTTTTATCATTAAATTCCGAGGCGTTTTTAGCAGAACTTCGCCCTTTCTTTAACGACTAATGCATTAAGATACCGAAAAAAGTTAAATTTAAAAATTTTAAGCACTGCCAATTTTAAATGCCAATGCCAAATTTGTGTGCAACAAATTTTAAGAAAATCGTTAAAAACTTCCACAAAATTATTTTATGTTGGTAACGCTACTAAACACTTTTCTAGAGTAAATGTGTCTGAACACATTTTCAATATTCTAATACTAACTTTGTTATATTTAAATTTTATTGGAGCGTAAAATGCTCTAAAAACATTTTGAGAATAATTTTCATAATGAAACATTTTTTAATATTTTAATAGTTGGCAACCCTACCAATACTACAACTTTGTTTTTATATGTAGGTGGGAACTCTATTTTTATCTAATTTATTTGTAGCGTAAAATGCTTTAAAAACTTCTTGAAACTAGCTTTTAAACGTTTAATAAACGTTTAATTTACGTTAGCACATTTTCTTAAATATTTAAATTTTTTTTTTTAAATGTGGGATCTTATCAAACTTATTTGTAACGTAAAATGCTTTAAAAACTTCTTGATTTATGTCCATATTAATAATTTTTATAATAAATTAATTTTAAATATTTCAATAGTTGGCAACCCTATTCAAAATTTTTCTGAATTTAAGTTTTTTCCGATAACTTTTCGCCTGATGCCAGTACTGCAAAACTTTGACGAAACAACCTTTTAATTTAAATAAATCTTTTTTTATATTTTAATCGGTTTTAATTTTTATAGGTGAAATCTCCATTGTAAGCAATTATTTAATTGTACCATGAAATGCTGTAAAACTTTTTAATTTATACAAGAATACGAATGTTTTTCGTAATAAATAAATTTTGAAAGTTTTGAAAAGGCGACAACCCTATTCAAAAATTTATCTGAATACAAATACTGTAAAATTTTAATTAAATAAATAATTAAATTAATAAATTTTTTTATAGTCGGCAACTCTACTTGAAAATACTTTTAGATTTGTGTATTCTTGAATAAATTTCAAATAATATGGGTACCAGTTTTAAGATTTTATCTTACGAAATTTTGTAACCAAAATCTAAAAATTTGATTTTCATTTTTTTTTAGAAAGTCCCTATATAAAGCCAATACGGTTTGGTGATCCTGGTAAACCTCAACGCTAGGAAGGATGTGCGGGCCAAATACAACAAGAAAATCAAAAAGGCTGAAAGGGAAAGTTTACGAATCTTCTCTGAACTAATTTTTTTTAACCCCTACAGCTGCAAGGCTGTCAAGAGGAAGGGTAGAAACGAAATTGGCGCTTAGGCTGCCAAACTGAGCCTACACAAGTATTGAAGAGGAAAGATAATTCACTCTGCCTGGCACGCACTTTCCCGATTTCATCAGTCTTGAACTAAAGCTGGAACGCAGAGCTAACAGTCCGGCTCAGTTGGATTGAAGGCTGACAAAAAAAACTTTATACTCGGGAATCGATCTATTCGGCGATCGGAGCTTTTAATAAAATCATAGCCCCTGCCCAGAGCTTATATATGTACATATGTACATACATAGGTCAGGGAGGACTTCGGATATCCAAAGTGTATTCGAAAGTGGATAATCAGTTCGTTACATGTAGACGTTTTCCTTGCACTAAGAAATGTACAGACAACTAAATATACGTAGTTGGATAGGAGTTTACCTTCGAACCAGGATTGTTGAAACCAAAACCAGCTGAAAGCAAAAAGAGTATGCCCACAGGGAATGTTCCTGCCCTCCTCTATGTGGCCTAATACTAGACGAATTTCTGCAGCTACTTTCGGAAAATGGCATCCACTGTCAAGGGTATTTAGATGACAAAGTCATATGAGTAAGCATAATCCGCGATATGCGCTAAGATGTGGCTCAACATCATATTAGCCAAATTCCTTTCACTAGAAGGACAGCCCTTCATGGTGTGAGGAGTATAACTCTAGGTGGATTTCTAGTTATTTTGACTAGCAAAGTGAAGTATAATTCTGGCGTATATGGTGCCAGAGCTATAATATCCGTGCCAATAGAAAGTTACCCGTGCATTTTTCAGAAAAAAGTCTACGCCATCTACGCCAATCTGTCTGTATGCGGGGATATATCTTCGCAAGAGCTATCAGAGAATCGTCATTGTCAGTGATAGCCAGGCGGCACTCAAAGCTCTTTCATCTCTTGGGTGCGCAGATAAAGTTAACTCCTTTGGAAGTTACATTATCTGTATGGATTCCTGCTCACAAGATAAAAGAGGGAAATAAGATAGCGGACAGAGTAGCCAGAAAAGCGCCAGCCACACCACAATTGAGAAGAAGCCTTACCTGGCAATAGGTTTAAATAGGATCCATGAATAGCTACAAAATGAAAGACGAAATACCACGTTTATTAACTCTGGCTCAGTAGGACTACGCCAGGAAAAGTGCTTGCTTGGGCTGAAGCGTCACTTTCAAAAACTATGCGCTCTTCCGTTTCTGTCACACGCCCAAAGAGATATTTTTACACCTTTAAGTCGGATTGCGATGCCATTGCCAGAAAACGCTAGATAAACCTTGTGTAGCCTAAGTACAAACACATTATCTTCTCAAAACGTCGAGTATTATATGGGCTTTGAGGCTTAACTGAAATTATGAAATTTCACACAAATGTATATGGCATAAATATAATTTCTTGCATAAACCTCTTAAAAAAGAATTCAACATTCAGCCATTGAAAGGACACTTTCACCTCACCAATTTGACAATTCATTTGGCGTAACAAGCTAAAGCTATGTCGCAGCTGCAGTACCATTATATGGACACTACTGCCCCAAACCTGTGCGCCGTTAAAGCCGGTGAAAAGTCAACGACGCGCCAACGACACCGTCACCGCCACCGACATCACCATTGCTATTGCCATTTCGACAATTTCACAAAACGAAGAAATAAAATTACCTTTCACGTTTTGCATCATTTTTGTTGTTATTTTATTGACTGTAGTAAAGAAGCAGAAGCGGCAGTAAAGGGGAGAAAAATGGGCATGCGACTTTGGCAGACAGTTTATTAGCAACAATCGACCGCTACGCGCTTTGTTGAGCAAAGTAAAAGTGTGCGCAAGTTGGGGGTGTCAGTGGGTTCGTGCGTACTGGTGACCCTGTATGAAATTTGTACATTGTTTTTGTTTTTAGTATTTCCAAAAGTCTACTTTTTTCTTACAGCTTGGTAAATGCTAAATTTGAAGAGAGAATATGGACTCTTAATTAAATTTGAGTGAAAATAGTCAGAGGTGTAGGGCGAACTTTTTTCTGATATGGTCTAAAGGACATACATACATACATATATGGTCATGGAAAGATTTTGACTGAGCTCCCGTAGCTCTTTGAAAGTTAAACTACGTATTTGCAGTCCCGACCATAGCTACATATATAATTCGGGATACTATAACCTTCAAGAGACGTGCCAAAACTAGAAATGTCAGAAGGGGCAAGTCTAGCTGCATATGTATATATACGCAGAGGGTTCAAAGCTCGAATGTAGGGTTGGTGGTGATGTATGTATATTCCTAAGTATTTGGAAGTATCTGAATATTTAAATCAGCTTGGGTCTTCCAGACGATCTTTCAGGCTGAGCTGATGGCAATCAACAAAGCAGCAGTACTGCTAAGGCGTGTTACTATATATGGAACCGATATCTATTTTTTTTTCGGCAGAGTTATTAGCTTCGAAAGGAACTTCAAAATTTAATTAGGGAATAAAGAAAGCTCCAAGATCAAAAGGCTCGCCAAGGAGGCGGCAGCAACAACACCAATAGGCCTGAGCTTTCTTGCAGTACAACCGCACACTATCACACAATAGCTTAAGGGAGAAGAATAAATCAAAAGAGAACTGCGCTGGAACCAAGTCACTGGGCAGCGCCAAGCAAAAAAAACTATTGGGGAGATAAAATAGAAAAAGATATGAAAAAACAATTAACCTCCCAAAGCATAAACCTGGAATACTAACAGGTATCTTAACAGGTAAATGCAGATTAAGAAGTCGCTTATACAACCTCAGGATCTGGTCCACAGATTTATGCCGTTTCTGCGATTGGAGAGTTGAAACTTCTGAGCACATAATCCTCGAATGCGATTCAGTGGCGAGGAGAAGCGAAAAATACCTCGGGTCCTAACCTATCACCTAACAATCTACTGGATTTCCTAAGGGAGCTTTGACTTACCAAGCCGCTGTAAGGAGCAAGAGGGCACAATAGAGATAGATAATGGGCAGAAGACCTAAGATTTTTAGATGTTTTATTAGGTCTCCTTTGAGATTTTTCCAATTTAAAAACTGGTTTTATGTAAAATCGGGGATAGCTTCTCCCGGCGGCATCCCAACAGACGATGAATATGAGTTATCCAACTGGGAGGAACCACAAAGACCTGACCTAATCTTCATTTTAATCGCTTGCAGAATGCTCTGCGATCTCTGCAACACCAGTTAGGCAATAGGTTACAAATCATTTTATTTTTCCTACAGGATACACAAATCTACATACTATAAAGTAAATATAAAATGGGCGAAATGCCAAACAATGAAGACGCCATTGTTGTTTGCTTTATATCATTGCAACTGATGATTCGCTAGCACTCCCATCCGCTCATTCCCCCGCAAAACCTTAACGCGCCCGTTCAACACCCACAAGTTGGGCAAACAACCACCCACTTAGACATTGAATTGGACCATTTCTTCGTCCACATCATCTTCTTCATTTTTGCCTTGTTCACTCGATTATGCTACGCTCGGTTGGACATGCCTTTGTCCAAACACCCTTTATTTGTATGAATGTATGTGTGTATACATAGGTGTTGGAGTGCCATACACTATTTCAACGGTTGCCCGTTTATGATGGCCACTCCAAAGGATAGTGGAGAAGCTTTTTATTTTTCAACTTTATACTTTAACATACCACAAAGAAAGCTTTACTCAAGAAAAGAAGCGGCGAAGGTTGGTTTTTTAACTCAACTCAACTCAACTGGAGAAAAAGCTATGCTGAATCTTTTGTACGCTTAAGGTAAATGCGAGGAAATTCAACAAGGCGACGATTGCATGAACAAACAAAAAAAGAAGAAGAATGAATTGTAAAAGTCAAATATTATGAGGCGCAGGATAGCAAAAATAGGCCGTAGAAAAGCGTTAACCATTTGCTGGATTTAGATAGTGCTGAAGCACATAATTTTATCTTCTTTTTGAGTGTGGCAAAGAAAGAAAAAAATAAAAAGTTGGGAAGAAAACGAGAAACAGTAAAAAAAAATTAATAGAAATATTTAAAAAAAAAGGTGTAAAGAATGTAGTAACGAAAGCAATGCAAATACGAAAGGCTAAATTTTGGAAACTCACGGGAATTGTGATTCTTCACCAAGGGATTACGAGGTTTACGAATACAAACACATAAAAGCTTATAAACGTAATAGACACAGACACAAAGCAGTGAAGGCTGCATGGGAAACTAGCAAACAACCGAACTGGTTGAAGGTGTAGATTAGGTAAGTGTAGTAAGTGAGGCCGTGAAATGTAGTACTTTGCATTTTCTTACAAAGATTATTGGCAAACAAGACAAATAGACTGCCGACTCCTATAAACATGCAAACTTAAGCAAATAAGAAGCTGCGAAATTTTCATATCCTTACAGCCCGTGGGTTGATGTAGGACGATTTGCAAGGCTACTTGGCGAAAAATTTGAACGTTTTGTGTGCTTCAAAAGCGAATACTTGGGTGGAAATACCTGCATACGTAGCTATGTCTGTTAGTAAGGCAGCTCATCAATGAACTTGGCATTTCGTTAGACATTTTCTTGGTACCTATGCACCTTTGCTTTGTTCGCATATTCATTGACTGTTTATTTTGGCCAATTGCCTCTTAGAAGCACCACAAATGCTTGTGTAGTGGCGTCAATGATGCTACGGGATTGAACGATAGGTGACGGCAAGCATTTACTTAGAATAATTCCTTTTGACGTTGATTTGTGGCAATTTTGTAAATTAGATGCCATACTAGATAAAAAGGAAAAATTTTTAATACTTAAGTATTATAAACTTTATTAGATGAAGTGTTTAAATTATTGTATGCAAAGAAAAAATGTACTTTTAAATAAAAAAATATACATTTTTTTTTTAAGTAAATATTTCCGTGATTCAGCGTAATACTATGCTGTGCTAATAATATCACTCAGGTTCCTTTTCACAGGCATCAAAATAGGAGTAAAGTAGTAGCTATGCTGTTGGTGATCAGCTTAATTTGGTTTTAGTTTTTGAAATCAAAAAAGCATCTTCAACAACAAATTCTGTTAAATTAAAAAATTAAGTTTTTTGTTTATAAGGACGAATAGGTATTGGAAATGTCCTTTTATTTATATTTTTCAAGCTAATAAAATTAGTAGGACGAAATTCTAGGATGTGGGCATGTATATATCAATCCTTAACATATAATTTTTTCAAAAATAAATATTAAGAATTTTCAAGGTTATTCAAGGATAAAATGTTAAAAAGACATTTTTAATACCTATTGTGTACCAACAAATTTAAATTTTTTTATTTCCACAGAATTTTATCTTTTATTTGATGCCCATATTTTTATTTTACACTGGACTGATTTTTTTAGTAATCACTTCTTTGAAATGTCAAAGCCCTTTAAAAAAAAAGCATTACGTTTTTTTGTGTTTAAAATTGATCGTCGCACGATGTAATCTATCTAATCTATTTTAAGTCATTGATAGAAAATTAGTTTTGACACTTTTCGAGTTTTCTATGCCTTTTGGAATATTTTCGGGACTTTTTAAGAAAATTTTCCGACTGTTTTACATATACACAAGTATATCTTAGCTCTGCTTTTTGTACATGCCTAAAAGTCCAGTCAGACCTGGCAATTCTAGTTATTCCAAAACTGAACACTTTCAAAAAGTAGTTACAGAAAAATTTTCTAAAGAAATTTTTTATTTTCGAAAGACGAAATTTTTGGTTTTCCTTATTATATTTTTTTATTATTATTTCGCCAAAAAGTGCGTCAATAAAATTCATTATTACTGTCAAGTTGAGAATTTTAAATCCCATTTCTCGCATAAATACCCTAAAAGTGAGTACTTTTTGTCACTTTCCGGAATCCAGCTTCAAAAATAAAACTTACAAGGGCAGCTTGCACAATTCGCTTTCGAAAATAAGTTCCCACTAGCTCATGCTGTACCAAAAATTTTAATTTCTGGCCATATGGCGCACTTTGTCGCGGAATAATAAAAAAGCAACGGTGAGGAAAACAAAAAATATCGTTTTTCGAAAACTGAAAATTACTTTTTCTGCAACTACTTTTTGAAAGTACTTGCACTTCCACATCTTTCTTCAAATTCGCTGATTATTTTCTAAAAAAAAAAAAAAAAAAAATATAGAAAGCGCGGGTATTAATTCATATCCAAGAATCGTTTACCTTATGGCTAGAAGCTCTGGGCTTTTGCAACAGCCCAACTTCGTTCAGAAGGGATATGCTTAAGGCACGGGAGATATATAAATAAATACATATGAATGTATACTCAGAGTTGAGCGGGTCCTTTGTAAGGCAATTTACTGTAAAGTGGATCCGTAAATAGTTTGTACAAGGTAGAAGCACGGAATATGCCGATAACCTTGCTATTTGCTGGGCTCCTTGGCCTTTTTTACCATAAAACCAAAGTGCCCCTCTGTGGACAATGCCACATTGAATGGGGTACCCCTAGCAAGGGCAGACCATGCCAAATGTGAAAGGCTAATACTGGATAGGAAACAATATTGGAGGCCTTATATAGTAGAACGCGTTGGCAAATGGGAGACGAAGACCTCAGCCACACTTCACGCTCATCAGTTTGCGTCCGATGGATCTTTCCACAAGGAAGGTAGCATATATAGTCCAGAGATAGTCACAAACAGTAGTGAATCCGACTACTGCTTTCCAATACCACGACGGACCTCAAGTATTTAGCACACTGGTGTATAACTCGGTGTAAATTAATGAATTTTGGTATAAATCTAATTAATTGTACCAAATTTCACAAAATTTGCACCAAGTTATACACCACTATGTCACTTGAGACAATAAGTCTAGGAGCCATCTAACGCCAAGAAGAAACTGGGATAGTCAGAGCAAGAAGCACTCATATTCTCATCGTTTTCGTCTGTCTGATCACTGTAGTGACTCTCAGGCAGAGCTGATGGCTACGTATTTATTTCTAAAACTCACTGGTACAGTGTAGTACCATTTCTAGTGAAATCTACATACATACATACATACATACATCACCACCAGGTATGGTACTGAGGTATTTCCTCCACACTTCGCGCCAGTAAAGGAAACTTGAAAGCTGACGAAATTACGTACTCTGCAGGCACTCTTACAAAAAGAAGCAAATTTCTATTTTGCGTAAAATTCTACGTAATTACGTGTCAGATTGCGTGACGGATTACCATTCAAACGCCTCACGCAATCTTAAGGATAAAAAAACGCCTAGCCAAGAGGTTCTTAGAGGGCGTTCTGAGCTATTATTTCAGCCGAGGTTGCAGATACTTTGGCACTGCCCGGCGATGGCTGGAAGAGTAACAGCTTGAAGTTCACAGACCGCCCTAAAGCAGTTTCTTCTAGCTTCAAACTAATTTTTGGGAACGAGAATGACTCCATATATTAAGCTTTGACAAGTTAGCCTAGCTCATCTAAAGTGGAAAGTTTATCTTATATTTATATTTTTGTCATCTGAGAGCCTTACAATGCTATGAGAGATCCGAAAAGCAGATGTGTTTTTACGGTAAGGTTTTTCATAAGCGAAATATGATTAATATAATGATACCCAATCGTAGAAAAAATACTGCGCGAATGAGTAGTGAAAAACTAATTAAGAGAAATGGGAAACTGGCCTATGGTTGCCTTATTAAAATCAGCTATATATGCAATTCACATACACACATACATATATACATAAATACATTTAACGAAACTTACCTGCACATAACCTCATGCGTCAACAAAACACGACACATTTCCGGATTTTTATCTTGTCCTTCGTAAATAATCGCCTGGAAAAATAACAGAGAATAAAACAAAAAATTACCGAGTGTATGACTATAAGTAAGTTGTCATTAACGTAATTATTCAAACATAATCGTCAACTACAAGTGAAGTTACACCGTTAGGACTTACTCATAAAATAGTACAACTTAATTAGATTATACTACCTAAATGTATGCATATATGTATGTATGTAAATACATAGTCATCTAGATTAGGGTGCATCACACTTCATACAAAAAAATCGATAAAACTGTTAAAACGGCATTATACAATTTTTGATAGTTTAATGGCCATATTTATAAAAAATAAAGTAGGTTTAAAGAGCTATATAAAGTGACATTTTCATACAAATTTTCGATTTATAAAGCAGTTAAAGTCTTTTTTTATTTTTTATGAATTTGGCGTAATACTTCTTCGAAAATATTTCGGAAAAATATTAAGATCTACGTGAGCATTAGGGGCACCACTCTCCGTACAAAAAATCGGTACTGTTTTTCCATCAGATATGTAATGTTTTTCGTAGTTTAAGACTTCTTCCAAATGGACCGATTTGAAAATAGCTTTAAAAATCGATTTTTTTTATAAATAACATTAGTTTTTAAAAATGTTTTTTCCAAAAAATCACCTCAGATGATAGAAGAGTTTAAGCTAAAAAATGTCTTCATAAAAATGTTTAAAAATTTCATCAACGGAATAGAAATAAGGAAATTTTCAAATCGGTCCAAAATATTAACCTAAGTTTTATAATTCCGATGGAAAACCTGCATTTTTTTGTGAGACACTCTAATATACATATATACATAGTAGTAGGAAGAAGGATAAGGCACAAGGAAGTGATTGAATGAGTGACTGAGCATTTGCTTATACATAACATTCGCCATCATCATAAATAACTACTGAGTGTGGTCAATATTCGCCAGCTTAGAGTGAAAAGTTGATAAGTCCACTTTTTATGAAAGCGCATATCGCTAGCTTAGAAAGAAAAGTTGCTAAGTCCCATTTTAAAAATTTTACAGGAGAGGAAAAAATCTTCCTATAGCCATTTTCTTTAACTATTTCGCAAGACTTTGAATCAAGCATTTTGCGCGTTTAAAGAAGAGCAAAAGTCCATAAGAATCAGGAGGTTTCGATATTTATTAAATGATGTCGTATTATTTTGGCCTTATCGGATTTGCGGTGCTTCTTTTGGACTTAGCAAATTTTCCGTTTATTGCTTATGAAGAGGAAAAAATAAAACAAGTACCTTTATCATTTTCGAAACGATGCGTATTCAATTTCTCTAGCCTCCTATATCAAAATATGAGTTTTCATAAAAAGTGGACTTAGCAACTTTTCACTCTAAGCTAGCGATATGTATTTTGATATAGGAGGCTAGAGAAATTAAAAATGCATTAAGGTCCTTGTTTTATGCTTTCTTGTTTATATTTAATGAAAGTGAAATTTGCTAAGTCCAAACAAAGCTCCGAAAATTCGATAAGGCCAAAATAGTACGAAATCTTCTCATAAAAACCGAATCCCTCTGATTTATATAGAGTCTCGCTTTGCTTTAAACAAGCAAAAAGTTGTATTCAAAGTTTTGCAAAATACTTGAAGAAAATTGCTATAAGAAGTTGTTTTCCGCTCCTGTTCAATTCAATAAATTGGGACTTAGCAACTTTTCACTCTAAGCTAGCATATTTATTTTGTACACAAATTAACACACAGATACATTTATTTACCAATGATTGGGTATATTCTACGTTTTTTTTTGTAAAAATAAGGTCAGCACATTTTATATTATCAGAACGTATATCTCAATATTAAACATTGGCAATGAGTGTTGCTCTAGTTGTTGTCAGTATAATATGTACATATGTACTACCAGAAAAATGATAGCTTTCATTTATTTGCATAACATGTTGGTTTCCAAACATTCACAAAATACGAACATTAGAGTGGATAGGTCTGTCTTCGACCTATTAATCATATTTCCTTAAATCTTTTGGAAAGCATTGCAGCCAAAAAAACGAAGAAAACTGAGGTTAAAGGATGGGACGCCTACAGTCGCCATTACCACGATCGCAGATGGTTAACAAGATACTTAAGAAAATGGAATGCCCAACTTACTGTCCGAGTAGGTGACGTCTCTTTCATCCACAAGCAAAGTATAAAAAAATATACAGACCTAGTACTCCGAAATGGTCTGGCCAACCCAAGCTAGGTGAAGCTACTCTACTGATGAGGTAACGAGATTTTCCCGGCAACTCTTAGGCCGATGCTGTTCGAAGACATGCTGGCCTGGTGGTCGGCAATGAAGAAGAAAACATTTCTTAAAAGAATATGATTAGGATGACCACTTAGTATCACACCAATGGCCGCAGTGTAGCTCAAGAATATATCGTTTAAAACTGCCTCCAGGCTTAAAAACACCGGACAGTTTATATACTGATACTGCGATTACATTAGAGTAGCGTCGATGCTTTTTGGATGAATACACTAGGTGATCTCGGGCCAGTAGTTTGAGACGGATGTCTGGGCCACGATTTAGGTCGAAGGCTAGCGGGAGTGTATGGAGATGGTGCACTTTTATATAGAGAGGTCGCAAATGGGCAACGGGTATGCGCGTAGCATTCTCCATTTTTAGCCATAGAAGCGATGGAATTAATAAGCAGTGGGCGAATAACCGGCCGAGCGAATCTCTATATCGACTTTCAGGCTGCGATTCCTCAAAAAATGTGGTACACTGCAGGGCAGACATGGCTGAACTATACGCCGATACGGACGACGGTATGCATGTAATGGGTTTCGTGACTTATTGGCGTCTTTGGCCATGACGAGGCCAAGCGACTTGTCGGCTAAGGTGGTCATTCGGAAAACGTGCCAATAAGAGGCGAGAGCACCATACATACTCACAGGGTTTCGTTTATCCCTAAAGAGGGAGGTCCCTAGACTTCTAGCTAGTTTACTTATAGTACGTTGTCTTATGCTATGGCTCTTAGTAGTTTGAGCAAAGTCACGTAGTGAGTAGCCAGTCTTAACTTACCTAGGAATCGTTTCACCAAATGCTCTTACAAGTGCAGATAGGACCATCTATTCCCAAAGTGGAACAGGTGGACCCCCAGGGGTTCAGCGAAGACTAGATAGAGGTTTACGTTGGCTTGACAAAATGGATGTTCTCAAGTTGTAAGTTCTGGAAACTTTTCACTTTTTTTGTCCACGGACTTGAAAAAAATATATTCAGGTAGGCCAGCATGTGGACCAGATAGCCTATTTATTAAGCTTAAATTTTTTTTTAACCTCCCTTATTTTTTTGAGTAGTGTATTTTAAGGTAGAGGAATAAAATATCCATCTTCCTCCTCACTACAATTCTACTCAAGAGCATTCAATTTTGATTTCCTCTTTTGCGAGTTAAAAAAGAAAGAGTGCTCTTCAACCGAATTAATTTTTTTTATAACTCAGTTTTTTCGCTTCACGCTCTCTAAAATAGAACATGCATGAAAATATACTATTTTTATTTACCACTCCAAATTTAGTGTTGGCACTCAGCCGCCACGCAAACTTCAATCTTTAGAACTACTTTTCCCAATTCTTTGAAGAGTTTTGGGAACATGGCAGAAATATAGCAGTAAGGTGTCAACCCAAACCAGTAAAATTTTGAAGGTGGTTTACGAGAACAAAAAGTGTGGGAACCTCTGGATTAGACTAAGCATTCGAGGCAGAGATCCGGGGTAACTTTTTATTTTCATTTACGAACCTCTACAGTGACCCCGTCTAATGTAACTTTATGAAAAGGACGCAATTCGTTAAAGACCTGGTCAATTACAAATAGTAAAGTATGGTATATGGTATGTAGGAGTCCAATGAATAATGGATACATATGTATGTATGAACATTAAGCGCGTGCCAGTTTTATTTGAATACTATGTCGAGAAAAAATGTTGGGTGAAAAAAAAATGCTTTGTGCACCCACTAAAAACCCGCTAAATCGCGTTTTTGCTATAACTTGTTTATTTGTGAGCCAACTTTTTTAATTTTTATGTCACCGTAAAAGCCTTGCTCAGAACTATAAAAGCCTTGCTCAGAACTATAATTGAATAAACCGTTTTTTTTAGCAAGGTCGTCATCGTTTTTTGAGAGGTTTAGATTTATAGTATAAAAATACAAAACCAAGGATAGTAATTCCTAAATTAGTGAAGGTATAAAAAATAAAACTGTTTAATGGCCAAATATAGTCCGGAGCGAGACCTATTTAGCGACATACAGATTTTAAAAATTTCATATAAAATAAGAAAAAAAATTTTTTTACACCCAAAATTTTCCCTAGACATTAGTGTTTAAATAAAACTGGCACACGCTTAACTTTTTTTCTTTCGTACATATTTCGTGATACGTCTTAATGTAAATAATTACAAGTTACATATGAGTAATGAATGACTCTATTTATCTTGTAACATTGTAATCATACTAGCTAGAGCATGTGACAAATTTTGAACGAAAAGGAAAACGACATGTCTGATATTTTATTTGTTGAAACCGCTAATTACAGTGGACGCGTAGTTGAACAACAAAGTTCAACCAACATTATTCGAGATATCTAAGGCATCTAAGTATCTATTAGAGCGTTTAAGTTGTGCGTTTTTTGTTGTTTGATGCAGCCCGATAAGCACTATGAAACTACATGCTGACTTATGTAGCTAAATATATCGTACATACATATATGCATACAAAGGACACCAAAGGATCCGTCATTGTTTATTAAGAGAGCTGTCAAAAACGATTGATAGCAAAGAAAGAAAAAAAGAAATAACACAACAATACTGAGTCACTTCGAAACTAGTTACATAGGGAGTGGAAAAGCACTCAAGCGCTTGCTAAAAATAAAAACAAAACAAAAAGGACGCGCAAGGATTCGTTTTTAAATTGCGCCATATGCGTTACATGTGCCACTAACAAGTAGTTATATATGGATGTGTGTCTATCTGCTCGTTGGAACTTGAAAGTTAGGTGAGTGATTAGCCATAAAAC